CTGCTTAAAGCTATGTATGGATCCTGCCTCCACTACATCGCTTCCCAAACTATTCCACTTACTGACTACTCTGTGGCTGAAGAAATACTTCCTAACATCCCTGTGATTCATCTGTGTCCTCAACTTCCAACTGTCCCCCCTTGTGACTGTGTCCAATCTCTGGAACATCCTGTCTTTGTCCACCTTGTCAATTCCTCTCAGTATTTTGTATGTCATTATCATGTCCCCCCTCTCTCTCTCTCCTGTCCTCCAGTGCCGTCAGGTTGATTTCCTTTAACCTCTCCTCGTAGGACATACCTCTTAGCTCTGGGACTAGTCTTGTTACAAACCTTTGCACTTTCTCTAGTTTCTTTACGTGCTTGGCTAGGTGTGGGCTCCAAACTGGTGCCGCATACTCCAATATGGGCCTAACATACACTGTGTACAGGGTCCTGAACGATTCCTTATTAAGATGTCGGAATGCTGTTCTGAGGTTTGCTAGGCGCCCATATGCTGCAGCAGTTATTTGGTTGATGTGCGCTTCAGATGTGCCTGGTGTTATACTCACCCCAAGATCTTTTTCCTTGAGTGAGGTTTGTAGTCTCCGGCCCCCTAGACTGTACTCCATCTGCGGTGTGTGTGTGTGTGTGTGTGTGTGGGGGGGGGGTTGCAGAGGGTGTGGATGTATGGGGGGGGTGGGGATGTATGGAGGGTGTGGGGATGTATGGAGGGTGTGGGGATGTATGGGGGTGTGGGAATATATGGGCAGTGTGGGGATATATGGGCAGTGTGGGGATATATGGGCAGTGTGGGGATATATGGGCAGTGTGGGGATATATGGGCAGTGTGGGGATATATGGGCAGTGTGGGGATATATGGGCAGTGTGGGGATATATGGGGATGTGGGAGGATGTGGGAGGGTGTGGGGGTAAGGGGCATGACCAGTATGTGTATGTGCACACATTCAGCTTTTTAATTGACAATAAACAAAATCAGACCAAAATGTCATTGCAAGTTTGCTCTCCTAGGTGCGAGTTATTCATGATTTGTTCCAGCCACAGTACTGTTCTTTCTTCTATTCTTAGTCCTGATCTCCCAATTATAGAATGGACATAAATGTGCTAGGAAACATACAAAGAAAGATTGTGAAGTTAATCCCATGTATAAGGAGCCTTTCTTATGATGATAGGCCAAAGGCACTGAATCTGCACTTCCTGAAATATATCTTAAGTGTACAAACAGAAAACCAGAATTAATAATGGGGATATAAATACCATACTGAAAATACACAACCATGACAGGACTCGCAGCAATGGATTCAAGTTGGATAAATTTAAATTTCTGAAGTAAAGAGGAAAGCACTGGTTTGGCAATAGAGCTGTATATGAATGGATTAATTAAACTCCCATCACTGAAGCAAGAATACTGAGTAGCTTTATAAAAAGGTTAGAGAGGTACGTGAGCAGCTGTGGGTGGGTGTGAGATAGACATGGGCCAGTAGGCCTACTGCAGTGCTCCAGTGCAGACAGGCTTGTCTGTGGATGCTCATTTTGTGGGTAATGAAGAGTTTTGTGTACCTCCTCAAAGTCATGTACAATATGGTACATACATCCTATTAATATGGTGGTAGCAAGCCCTGAAAAGAGAATGGTCGACCAGTTGATTCACCCCACAGGCAGGTTGAGTTAAGAACATAAGAAAGGAGGAACACTGCAGCAGGCTTGTTGGCCCATGCTGGGCAGGTCCTTCACAAATCCATCCCACTAACAGAACATTCGACCAATCCATTTTCAATGCTACTCAAGCAATAAGCTTTGATAACTATTTACTCGCGTGCAAGTCCCACTCAAATCCAACCCCTCTCACTCATGTATTTATCCAACCTAAATTTGAAACTACCCAAAGTTTTAGCTTCGATAACCCTACTAGGTTAGACCGTTCCACTCATCAACTACCCTATTTCCAAACTAGTACTTTCCCATATCCTTTCTAAATTTAAACTTAACTAATTTGAATCCATTATTGCGGGTTCTCTCTTGGACGGATATCCTCAAAACTTTATTTATATCCCCTTTGTTAATACCCACCTTCCACTTATACACTTCGATCATGTCATTCTTTGTCTTACAAGTGAATGTAATTTAAGGGACTTCAATCTTTCTTTATACAGAAGATTACTAATGCTATGCATTAATTTTGTCATTCTTTGCTGAATGTTTTCTAATGAATTTACTGTATATCCATTCTATAATATGGAGACCAGAACTGAGCTGCATAATCTAGGTGAGGCCTTACTAATGATGTATAAAGCTGTAATATAACCACTGGGCTTCTGTTGCTTACACCTCTTGATATAAATCCCAGTAATCTGTTTGCCTTATTACATACGCTTAGGCATTGATGCCTTGGTTTAAGGTTGCTGCTTACTATAACTCCAAGTCCTTTTTGCAATCTGTATGGCTACATTATTTAGCTTATAAGTGCTAGGGTTATTTCTTTACCACCTCCATTGAGTAGTCCTCAGTATAGTAAAGGCTGCTTTGTGATGTAATGAACTGAGGAACCCATTCAGTTAGGCCACTGTGCCTGATTGGGTCAAGGACATAGCCAAAGTTATGGATACATGTCCAGTAAGAAAGCTGAGTAAGTGATGAGGAATGAGTTTCCTTCTTTGGGTCACCCTACTATGGTAAAGATGGCTGATGTGGTAGAGGGAAAAAAATCAGATAAAAATTGCTAGCTTATCAAACTCCCTCTGTATGAGGAATTAAGGTTATCAACAATTATTATATGTTGATGATAATGCTCAATAACCCACATGGAGACAGAAACATAAAAGAGTAACTGGTCTGTATATTTCAATTCCCTTCTAGGATTTGGATAAGTTCCTTTGTGCTATGTAATCCTTGATGTGCTGGCATTCTGTGTTAGTTTGGGCACTGGTATGTACTTCTTGAGGGCGAATTTTGAAATGATGACTGTGAAATGTTGAAATTGGGAGTGGTAGCTATGAGGGCAGATTCTATGATTTTGCATTTGTAGCTGCAGTGTGATTTGTTAGCTAAAAGGACAAGTGCAACTAATGTGACTTTTTTGTGGCAACGTTTTGCTCTCCAGGAGCTTTGTCAGGCCGTCAATTTGTAATGGCTTGACAAAGCTCCTGGAAAGGGAACAATGCCACAATAAAATGTTGGATTAGTTGCACTTGTGTTCTTTTACCTAACAAATTGTCAGTAATTCTACAAACATTATTACAGTGTGATTTGTGTTTGACAGTGGCAGCTTCCCAATGAATATTATTATTATTCATTCTGATATGTTGAAAAATGGCTGAATTATCCTGTGTGTAACGTATTGCCTTCTGGTGATTTATGATCCTTGTAGATAAGTGTTCGTCCTGTCTGCCCTCTGTATGCTTGGTTACAGTCTTTACATGGCATCTGGTAAACTCCTGGTGTGTCTTGGGTTGCTGAATGTTTGTGTTTCTTGGAAAAGAGATTCCCTAGTTTGTTGACATAGAACATGATTATGTTTGTCACTTTGTTGAGACGAAAACTTCAACTTATGGTACCCTTTTCTAAGAAACACAAACATTCAGCATCACAAAACACACCAGGAGTTTACCAGATACCATGTAAAGACTACAACCAAGCATACATAGGGCAGACAGGACAAACATTATTTACAAGGATCATTAAACACCAGAGGGCAATACATTATGCACAGGATAATTCAGCCATTTTTCAACATGTCAGCATCAATAATCACAATATTCATTGGGAAGTTACCACCATCAAACACAAATTCCATGGCAGCTACAAATGCAAAATCAAAGAATCTGCTTTCATAGGTATAACTCCCAATTTCAACATCTCACAGAAACAATGGAAACTAGACGTCATTTCAAAATTTGCCCTTAAAAAGTACATACCAGCGCTCAACCTAACACAAAACGTCAGCACAACATTATCAATTTCTTATATGAAGAACCCCTCACCAGCCTGGAGAAAATCACATCCTGATAGACAGGAGTGATTAAAGCAAGGGTTAGGCATGTATAGCTTTATTAAAAGAAAGAGCAACACCCTTATCAAAAGTGCCTATATCATTATCTCCATGACGTGTAGCCATAAAGTTTAGCTAAGATCACTGAAATCCTGCTGAATATTTTACCAACTGTGAAATTTTATTTAAATATTTATTTTCTTAAGGAGCTACTGCTTAACAACATGACTTGCATCACATCCAGAACTTTATAGGCTTAATACTTTTTCTCCTTCAATTTTCTATATCAGTCGCCAACATTTTGAAGAACAATTCTAGTCATCATTTCCTGCATAATTAGTGTGTAATATAAAGTAATTAGGAAGCATACACAGCGCAGACAGGACAAACACTATTTACAAGGATCATTAAACTTATGAGTGAGGTTCATGCCAGGTCACCAAACAAGTACGATAGAAGTAGCAAGGAAATATTCCTCTCAAAATGAAGGCATCTGGATAAACGAGCAACTATAATTTAATCAGATTTAGCTTGTAGCATTCAGCACTTCAAGTGGCCAGAATTAGTTAGTAGTAATTATGTAACAATGAAATAATTAATTCAAACAATTTTAGCAAATATTAAAAAAAATAATGAAAAGCATAAAACTACAGAAAACTAGTTAAAGAAAACACTTGCCCCTGCATTTTCCATTGAAACTATCTGAAAAGTTACACAGTATTAGGGAATGTATGCAGTGAGTGTGGTGTGTATAATCCCACTATTCATTATCACTCCAGCTTGCAAAGATAACCCAACTGATAAACACAATATTGGTTCCCAACATTGCCATCAGGGCTACGTAATTTTAATAGGATGCCTCCTTTTATAAATACAACTGTTTTAAATTTCACCTTAAAACCAAGTGTCATTTTGAAAACATCATTGGACAATGAGGAAACACTGGAAAACCATAACTTATACTCCCTACTGGGGATAACTAACCATGGCCATGAGACACAGAAATAAATGTTTACCTTAGTGATATCAACACCAGTCAAGGTCTTGACCATGTTTGGCATGCGAGTAATGATCTCCATGACTTCCCCCGTCAGCTTGGCCGCACCAATCTCAGAAGTTCCAGTGCTCACCATAGTCAGTTTCTTGGCTTGCGAAAGTGGTGCAGCAACTTCAGCAGCAACCTGCCAATACACAACAATTAGAAAAATAAGAAATCTGAGATACAATTACAAGTACATTTTGAAATGACATCCTAAAACAGATTAAGTTAACTGCTACACAATCAAGCAAGGAATTCTAGGCTCAAACAATGCCCCTTAACCCACCATATTTCAACAGAGGAGCAATTCTAGGAAAAGTTCAAGTTTTAGTTGCTCCGATATGGAAGAATGGAGAAAATAAAGATTGAAACAGAATCCAGGACAACAGAGCATAAGTTTTATGTGCGAGACTTGGGAGTAATGATATCAGATCTCCTTACATTCAAAGATCACAACAATGTTGCTATTGCTGAAGCAAGGAAAATGAAAGATTAAATAACTAGAAATTTCAAGACAAACGATGCTGAGACAATAATGCTACTTTAAGTCACTTATTCTCCCTAGGCTGAAATACTGCTGTATACTAACAGCTACCCTAAAACAGGCAAGATTACTGAGCTAGAGAACAAACAGAGAACTTTCACTGCCCGTATACATTGAATCAGACATCTAAAATACTGGGAATGTAGACAAGAAAGGTGCATCATAATTCATGCTTGGAAAATCCTATAAAGACTGGTCCCACACCAGAATCACTCCATGTGTAAGCAAGAGACTTGGCAGACAGTGCAAAGAACCTCTAACAAAAAACCAAGGGCACAAAAAGTACACAGGGAGGATTCACTGATTGTCAGAGATCCTTGACTCTTCAATGCCCTCTCTTTGTGCATAAGGGAAATTACCAATTTACCTGTGGCTGTCTTCAAGAGGGAACTACTGGACAAGTTTTCTCAAATCAGTTCCTAACTAGCCAGGCTATGGTTCATACATTGCACTTAGTGCAACCAGCACTTACACAACTTGGTTGATCATACCTTGATCCACCGATGACCCTGGTTTGGGACAGGCCACAGGTGGTAAACCCCCTAGAAGCATCCTTCAACTATTGATTCCGAAGGATACTCTGAAGCGAGAATTCTTGAAACTGTTACAGAGAGGCATTATCCAAATATTGCACTGCTATTAAAGTGAGGAACTTATAGTAAGAAACTTTAAAGAAGAATCCCCTCAAGCCAAAGCAATCAAATATAAGAATTGATTGATGGAGTGCACATTGCACTACAATTGAGAAGAAATGAATAAGTTAAATCTAAGGTAACTTACTACACATATTTCCAAGAACCAGAGGATGTGCTGGATTATTCCTTTCATATTTTCTGTGACAACCTGCCTATTAACCTTTTGACTGTCGAGACCCCAAATCCTGAAGTGTCTGTCATAAAATATTAAAAAAAAAAAATTATTTTTTCTCATGAAATGATAGAGAATCTTTTCCCAATGGTAATGACACCAAAAGTATGAAATTTAATGGAAAACTTACAGAATTAGGCTCTCGTGAAGTTAGCGATCTCGGCAATATATACACATCGGCGATTTCGCCCACTTTGAGCCCTATTTTTAGCCAATTCCATTGCTCCAGTCAACCAAACTCATAGCTATTTCTTTAGAACTCCATTTGTTCTATCAATTAAGTACAAGAAACCACCCATTTACCGATTTCAACTACCCAATAAAGTGGTCAGAAATTGGCAATTTGGCTAATTTCATACAAATTAAAAAAGATGCCAATTTCAAAACTGGGTTCAGAATAAACAATGCAGACATTCCTGGCACTAAAATAACATTTTCTCTGATCATTAGTCACGTCTCCAGGCCCCTCTTATATTACTCATGTTTTCTATTTTGAATTTTTATTCACACAAAAAATAGAAGATTTGCTGTTATGCAGACTACTGCTTTTTTGTAATTACTGTATAAATAATGTCAACCTATTCGTGACTACGTATTAGACCGGCCAGTTGGACACATATTGGACGGTGACGTCATTTGTTTACTCTCGAACATCAGCAAAAATCGAAAATTTCCGCTACATCTGAGCTCAATTTCAAGGTCCTCTTCATTGTGAAACCGATCAAAATTATCTCTATTTCTGTAGTATATCTTCCATTCTATCAAATGAGACCAAGAAAACGAGAATACAATCATAAATACTATACGAAAATACGCCTCAAAGTCAATGTTTTAATCCAAAAACACAGTGTTTTTTCTCAATATGCACTGCATGCTGCAGGATTTTTTTTATGCTGCACACACTGACCACACAGACCCATTCTCTCAAACATGGGCCTACCAGCTTTCTCCCGTTTGATTTGAAGCCGCTAGAATTTTGGCGTATTAACACATCAAAAACACTGAAGCCGTATGGAAGTATAATATTTCCAGCATTCTAATGAATGTACGAAAAAATTATTAAAAAAGGAGGAACTTAAAAACAGGAATATTAAGGAAATAAACTTGTTAATACAGTCATTCACACATTAGCCATAAAACTTACATGTAATGTACGTATACCAAGAGGATGCAGAAGAAATTATAATTTCTTAAAAAATGAAAAATAAGACAAACCTTTGGCAAAGTCTCTAAAAACATTTCTAACATGGCAGCCTCTTTGTACTCCTTCTGTGCTTCAGCCTTTTGTTGCATGATGAGAGCTTCAGCCCTGGCCTTGGCTTCCACAGCATAAGCTTCAGCTTCACCCTTGACTCGAATTGCTTCAGCTTCAGCTTCAGCTTCCAGCATGGTCTTGTTGCGAGCAGCTTCAGCCAGCTTCTCCAGCCTGATGTACAGGGAAAACTGTTTGTGATTTTTGCCAATAATTTTTAAACTTCAAAAACCTTCAATTTTTCATATGGTGTGATCTTTTGAATAAATAAAACTTTTTCTCAATTTGAACTTTGAAAAGATTAAATAAAATGCTCACCACTGCATAAACAATATCCAGATTTCTCATTTTAGCTGCAACATATTAAATTGGATACAGAATTATTTTCAATATAATTACCTGACTTCTGCAAATATGGTGCTACTTATTCATATTGAAAAATAAAAATAGTCTGAAACATTGATTAATGCAGTCTTGTACTTAAAATCTTGATTGCTCTTATTATATTTTTAAAATTATGATGCATATGTATTATAATAAAGTTAACCCCCAGTGTAATCATCTGGAGATGCCTGTCATTTCCAAAAATATATTAATAAGGTGTTATAGTAATATTTACTTGAACTTCTCAGAGTCTGCTGGCTGCTTTATAGTAGCCTGCAGCTCTTTCTCACGACGCTGAATTTCCTGTTCCTGGATGAGAATCTCTTGAGCTCTCTCTATCACCTGTAAGGCAGATTCACCATATTACTACATGCCCTGTTTCTCTGCTATCTGTTACACATTTTTAATATTGCTTCCTATTGGTATACTGCACTACTACTTTTATAGCAGGATTCAGATTTTGGCCTCACAATATACAGTGGTATCCCGAGTTTCGAACTGCTCCCAACTCAACCAATTATGTAAGTGTGTTATTGTAAGTGCTTTTGTAAGTGTATTTTTGGGGGTCTGAAACGGACTAATCTAATTTATATTATTCCTTATGGGAACAAATTCATTTGGTAACAGCACTCGAACAGCCTTCTGGAAAGAAGAACGTTCGAAACTCGGGGTACCACTGTACAGTATTAAGATTCATAAAACGCTGTAATTAATGCTACAGATTTAATTATATTGCTTAAGGCTTGTAAGATAAAACTTAGACCCCAATTTTTTTGTAGAAGTGCTCACTGGTAAGTGAACAGGTGGTAATTAATTTACGTTGCCAAATTCTAAAGCCCATGTGGCCATTCTTTTGATGAATTTTAGTCAAGAACATGGAAAATGCAAACAACAATGGGATTCATTAATTCAAAATACAGATTTTAAACTGCTAGTGTCAATTTAGAGGTGAAGCTGAGATGCACAATGAGTTCAGAAATTCAGCCTACATTTTTGCAACTTGTCAGACAAAAAAATCATCAAATTTTGCATTATATTTTCTCAAATAAAAAATTAAGTTTTACTGAAAGAATATATAGAGTATACTGCCAAAACTATTATGAGGATAACTATGCATCTGAGCAAGTGTTTAATGTTGATGAGTCAGGACTGGTGTAAAAGATGCCTTCTAGAGCTTACATTAGCATGCAAGTACAAAATGACTTTCAGGGACGTTTAAAGTCACCTGTGTGCTAATATAACAGGTGACTTTAAATGAAGACCCATGCTTGTTTATCACTCAAAGAATTCCTGTGCATTAAAACAGAAAGATAAATCAATTTGCCTGTTATCTGGTGGCCAAACCAATCAACATGGATAACAGAGGATTTATTTGTTGACTGATTCAGGCATCATTTTATTCCTTAAGTCGTGTTCTATAGGCACCACAAGAAACTCACATTCAAGATTCTCCTGATTCTTGATAATTCCTGTGCTCATCCTGACCAGTTGCACGATCTGAATCCAAAGGTTTAGAGTTTTTTAACCACTAAATATGACATCCCTGAAACAACCACTGGACCAAGGTGTAATAAAGCCATTAAAATGTATCTACACATGTAGTGGTGCAGAAACTGCTTGCAGCAATGGACTATGATTCAGAGATTAAGAGTGCCAGAGTTCTGGCACAAATTCAACACTGCAGATGCCTTACCCCACATCAAAGGTGCATAGGATAATGTGCTGAAATCAACAATAAATGCAGGCTTGAGAAATTTATGGCCTAATGTGATGAATAATTTCACAGGATTTCACTCAGTTGAGAGTCAAGTCAAGGAAATTGTTCAGCTGGCAAGAAGTTTGCTTTGAAGACATACAGCCAGAAGACATCAACAAACTATTGGAAGATGATGAGGAAGAAAAATTTGGAGCACATGTTGGCAGAGCTGAATGCTCAGACAGAAGGGGCTCGGAGAGTTGAAGAGGATGAGGAAAAAGAGCCTGCAGAGAAACAGTTAACACTTCAAACAATTATGTGAGCAGTTCCATGTTGCTGCTAAACTTGCAAACTTTTTTGCTGAAGAGGATCCTGACACATCTAGAGGTGCTACTCTGAAATGGATGTTGAACCAAGAAATGATGTCCTACTGTCAGCTGTATAAAGTACTGGCGGGTAAAACAGAGATGCATGACGCAATACTTCACACCTCCCTTAAGTAACAGCTTTGTGGTTTCGAACTTGGCCCACAAACCTCCAGCCATCCACTTCAGCTAGCAAACCCCAGCTCTCTACTTCATTTGCCTCATCCGCCAAGGCCCAGTAGGGCCACGCCATGCCTCTCCACTCCACTGAAGTTAAGCCACCTAAGCAACTACAACCAAGATTTAAGGAAAGTGTCTTCCCATTGCTTGACTTTTTTTATATTAGGCTAAGCTAAATCTTGTATTATATAGTATTATAATAACATGCTTTAATGTACCCAAAACATTTGCTTGCCTTTTATAATCAATGTACAATACCTAATTTATTATTTTATGCAAGTTGTGCATTCACAAGAAGAGTTGTTTGATGGAACGTAACATATTTTTTCCTTAAGGTATTCACTCCCTCTCTTGCATTTTCACAGCTCCATTTTTCTCAAACATATCTTGCACCGGCAGGCCGGACTTTGAGTCCTGGAGATGGGAAGTACAGTGCCTGCACTCTGAAGGAGGGGTGTTAATGTTGCAGTTTAAAAACTGTAGTGTAAAGCACCCTTCTGGCAAGACAGTGATGGAGTGAATGATGGAGAAAGTTTTTCTTTTTCGGGCCACCCTGCCTTGGTGGGAATCGGCCAGTGTGATAATAAAAAAAAATATATAATATCTTGCACGAAATGTAGTTGTCTTCTGTACACAAGTTATTTTTATTGTAATCTATAATACAATAAAAATAACTTTTTATGTAACAATACTTTACTTAAGTTACCAAAGAACCATTAAATAAAATATTGGGTTAAATATTAAAATATTCTGTACAGCATTAATTAAAAGAAAAGGCTAATTTATACATTTGTTAACTACTCATTTAACAAGATTTTTAAAATAATTACTAAAGAGACTTTGTACACACAAAAGTTTCTGATTCCCTTTACCTTAATTTGCATTTGCTCTTCCTTAATCTTCTGACGGGTCTTAGCAGCTTGAAGTTCATAAGCAAGTTCTGCTTCAGCTTTCTAAAAAAAAAAAAAAAAAAAAAAAAAAAAAAAAAAAAAAAAAAATTAAAAAGTATACATAGATATTTCTGGCATTTGAAAAAATCCTTATACACTTTGTATACAAAGCCTCATTTAGATTATGTTGTGCAGTTCTGGTCACTGCATTACAGAATGGACATAAATGCGCCAGAAAACATACAGAGAAAGATAGCAAAGATAATCCCATGTATCAGACATCTTTCCTAAAAAGATTCTCTGGAAAGGGATAAAATTAGGGAGGATATGGTTACAACAGTGTAAAAATTATAGGGGAATAAGTCTGTTGAGTATACAGTGGAGCCCTGGATTTCACACGCACTGGATAACAGACTTCTCGGATTTCAGACACTTTTTTGTGTGAAATTTTGCTTCACATTTCGGACCTTGTCCCGGGAATCGCATGTATCAGACACATCCACCCGCCGGAACACCGCTTCAGTCTGGCTCTGTAACTGGTTGAGTGAGCATTCATCCGAAACATTTTGCAATTTTTGTGCTTGTTTATTGATTGTGACTGCGAAATAAGCCACCATGGGCCCAAACAAAGTTACTAGTGCCAGCCCTTTGGTAAAGGGCTGAGAGAGAGGGCAGAATGTGCCTTCTTCAGTGATTCTACAATATGTACATTATTAAAGCAGCAGTAGTCGATAAAGGCTATAGTGCCAGCAGCGATAAAGTGTAGCATTAACCCTTTGGGGGTTTCAGCCGTACTAGTACGGCTTATGCCCCAGGGTTTTTGACGTACTAGTGTGCCTAAATTCTAGCGCCCTCAAATCTAGTGAGAGAAAGCTGGTAGGCCTACATGTGAAAGAATGAGTCTATGTGGTCAGTGTGCGCAGTATAAAAAAAATCCTGCAGCACACAGTGCGTAATGAGAAAAAAAAACTTTGACCGTGTTTTTCGAATAAAACAGCAACTTTGTACTGTATTTTCGTGTGGTATTTATTGCTGTATTCTAGTTTTCTTGGTGTCATTTTATAGAATGGAAGACATATTACAGAAATTGAGATGATTTTGACTGGCTTTACAATGAAAAGTACCTTGAAATTGAGCTCAAAGTAGCAGAAATGTTTGATTTTTACCAAAGTTCGAAAGTAAACAAATCATGCCAAGCGTCCAATATACGTCAACTGGTGAGTCTAATATTCTTTCACAAGTGCGCTGATATTATTTATACCATTTCTACACTAATGCAGCAGTCTGCTTAACAGTAAATCTTATATTTGTTTGTAAGAAAAAAATTCAAAGTGGAAAGCCAAAGAAATATAAGAGGGGCCAGGGGATGTGACTAACAAACAGAGAACTTGTTATTTTAGTGCCAGGAATGTCTTTCTTGTTTATTCTGGACCCTATTCGGAAATTGGCATCTTTTGAAATTTGTGTGAAATTGGCAAAATTGCTAAATTCTGACCACTTTATTGGATAATTGCAATTGGTAAATGGGTGGTTTCTTGTACTCATTCGATAGAAAAAATGGAGTTCTAGCGAAATAGTTATGATTTTTGTCGACTAGTACACTGGAATTGGCCGAAAATAGGGCTCAAAGTGGGCAAAATCGCCAATGCATAAACATCGTCGAGACCACTAACTTCGCAAGAGCATAATTCCGTAAGTTTTCCATCAAATTTCATACTTTTGGTGTCATTATGATCGGGAAAAGGTTCTCTATCTTTTCATAAGAAATTTTTTTTTTTTTTTTTAAATTTTGGTGACCCTGAGAACAAGTCTCTGAGAGGGCCTGGTGACCCCCAAAGGGTTAACAGTGTAGCAAGTAAGTTAAGCAATAGACAAAAAGGATGACACAAAACTCCTCTAATGTTGTTGGAGGTATACAGGGCCACTGACAACAAATTTGCCACCCTGCATATCTTCCACCACCCTAAACCAATGCCAGCATTTCCTCCAAGGTAAGTGTAAATATTTCTTATTTATAAAGTGTAAATATTTCTTATTTATAAATTAACCCTTTGAGGGTCGACAGGCCCTCTCCTAAACTTGTTCTCAGGGTCAAAAATCTTTTGAAAAAAAAAAAAAAAAAAAAAAAAAAAAAATTATGGAATGATAGAAAATCTTTTCCCGGTCATAATGACACCAAAAGTATGAAATTTGATGGAAAACTTACGGAATTATGCTCTTGCGAAGTTAGCGGTCTCGACGATGTTTACACATCGGCGATTTCACCCACTTTGAGCCCTATTTTCAGCCAATTCCAATGTACCAGTCAACAAAAATCATAACTATTTTGCCAGAACTCCATTTGTTCTATCGAATGAGTACAGGAAACCACCCATTTACCGATATCAACTATCCAATAAAGTGGTCAGAAATTGACAATTTTGCCAATTTCACACAAATTTCGTAAGATGCCAATTTCCAAATAGGGTCCAGAATAAACAAGACAGACATTCTTGGCACTAAAATAACATTTCCTCTGTTCATTAGTCATGTCCCCAGGCCCCTGTTATATTTCTTTTGCTATCTACTTTGAATTTTTATTCTCATAAAAAATAGAAGATTTACTGTTATGCAGACTACTGCATTAGTGTAGAAATGGTATACATAATATCAGCGCACTTGTGAAAGAATATCAGATTCAACAGTTGACGTGTATTGGACTCGTGACACAATTTATTCACTTTTGAACAATGGCAAAAATCAAACATTTCTGCTACTCTAAGCTCAATTTCAAGGTACTTTTCATTGTGAAACCAATAAAAATCATCTCAATTTCTGTAATACATCTTTCATTCTATAAAATGAGACCAGGAAAACAAGAATACAACTATAAATACCATACGAAAATACACTGCAAAGTTGCTGTTTTAAACCAAAAACCACGGTCGGAGTTTTTTTTCTCATTTTGCACTGTGTGCTGCAGGATTTTTTTTTATACCATGCACACTGACCACATAGACCCATTATTTCATATGTAGGCCTACCAGCTTTCTCTCGCTAGATTTGAAGGCGGTAGAATTTACCTGTACTAGTACGGCACCAACCCTGGCGTGCAAGTCATACTAGTTCAACACCGACCCTGAAAGGGTTAAAGTGTAAATCTTTCTTATTTATAAATTACGTACATTGTTTCAATGATAATAGTGGTGGTGGCCTCTACTGCCGCCACCACCACTATATGTATGGCTTATGCTGTCAGTGGCCCTGATAAACCCAACACCACCACCACTCCTTACATACGTAATGACATATTTTATTCATTCTGAAGTATATATCATGTTTCTATTTTATTAATATTGTTTATGTCATATTAGATGAATTGTGATAGATAAATAAGCCTTAGAGTTGATATTAGTGCATCATAATTAAGTATTTTGTCCTGTCTCCAAACAAACTCTCCTCCCAACAAGAGTCTTCAATAAAGGTATGTAATAGTGATTTAAATGTTCATTTATCCATTTCATTAGTGCTTTATATTTATTTCCCTTTGTTTTCTGTATGTAAAACAATAGTTGTTCTTTAAACAATGTATTTTTTGTTAATATTTTTGTGTGTCTGAAATGGATTAATTGTATTTACATTATTTCTTATGGGAAATATTACTTTGGTTTTAGCACAATTTGGATTTAGAATGACCTGGAATGGAATAAGTACAAAATCCGGGGTTCCACTGTACCTGGTAAAGTGCATGATAGAGTTATTATTGAAAGACTTAATAGTAGGAGAGAGAGCAGGACAGCAGATGAACAAGGAAACTTTAGGAAGGGTAGGGGTGTATAGACCAAGTGTTTGCAGTGAAACATATAGGTGAACAGTATTTAGGTAAGGGTAAAGAGGTTTTTGTGGCATTTATGGATTTGGAAAAGGCGTATAAGGTGGATAGGGGAGCAATGTGGCAGATGCTGCTAATGTATGGAATAGGAGGTAGATTATTAAAAGCAGCGAAGAGTCTTTACGTGGATAATGAGGCTCAGGTTAGAGTATGCAGGAGAGAGAAAGATTATTTCCCAGTAAAAGTAGGCCTTAGACAGGGATGTGTGATGCGAGGAGTGTTAGCAAGAGGTGTGGAGTTAAAAGATAAAGAACCTAACACAAAGTGGGAATTGTCACAGTTGCTCTTTGCTGAAGACACTGTTTTTGGGAGATTCTGAAGAGATGTTGCAGAGGCTGGTGGATGAATTTGGTAGAGGCTTGGACTTCCAGCAAGCATGCGTGAGCGTATTTGATAGGAGTGAATGGAGACAAATGGTTTTTAATACTTGACATGCTGTTGGAGTATGAGCAAAGTAACATTTATGAAGGGATTCAGGGAAACCAGCAGACTGGACTTCAGTCCTGGAGATGGGAAGTAGAGTGTCTGCACTCTGAAGAAGGGGTGTTAATGTTGCAGTTTTATAACTGTAGTGTAAAGCACCCCTCTGGCAAGACAGCGATGGAGTGAATGATGATGAAAGTTTTTCTTTTTCGGGCCACCCTGCCTTGGTGGGAATCAGCCGATGTGTTAATAAAAAAAAAAAAAAATAGACAAACCAATTTTTCCAGGACTAAATCCCCTCCTGCTTTAACATAGGTGATTTAATCCCATGACACATTTAAATTAATGCCATTTGATATTGTAATTGGTAGTACTGTTGTTCTAAGACAAGTAACAGCGAACAAAGCATACTTATAAAGACAACTTGCCTTTGCCTGAACTTCCATATCATATGTGGCTTTCTTCAATTCAAAGTCTCGTTGAGCCTTGGCAATTTCAGTATCGTTTATGTATTTAGCTGCCATACGTTCTTCCTCAGCAATTGCTTCTTTGATCTGTGAGTCCCTTGTTGCTTCTGCTTCACCTATACGTGCATCTCTCTTCACTTCAGCAGTACGGGCCATACCCAGAGCATCTAAGTATCCCTAGCAATAAAAAATGAACAGGTAAAGAGAGAGATTAGTTCAAGTGTAAATCACATTTCTCAGACATATTGTACAGTACATATATTACACGCTGTACTACAAACAGCCTCTCCTCACTTAACGATGGAGTTCCGTTCCTAAAACCACATTCGTAAACAAATTCGTCACTAAGTGAGGAGCATACTATAGTGGTAGTGAGTTTGTGTCAACTATCTTTGGTATTGTTCTAATATCACCTTTACACCATTTATAACATTTTTAGTATATTTTAAATGTTTATATAGTGTATTATATATTGTATTAAAAAGAATAGGGGAAATCAACTCTAATATACATTATTTAGGTATGCATACTAGTCACAGAGCCCGTCGTATGAACGAGTCATCTGTAAATGTGTACAGTGGACCCTCGTTTTTCGTAAGGCTTGAAAGTCGTAATTTAAAAAAATCTTAACGTTTTTTTCATCAAAACACTGACTCGTGAATTGTCGTTTGACTCGCAAATAGTTGTTCATCTGGGATGCATACACACAGCCCCGAGCCGCCTCACACTCCATTGCCAGCCAGTGTATCATTATTTATCAGTGAGTGAGGAAGATCCCACAAGTTCATATGATACATTTCATGATATTCCATTCGTTTTAGTGCTTGCAACTGCTAAATAAGTCACCATGGCTCCAAAGAAAGATTCTAGTGCCAGCCCATTGGTAAAGAATATGAGAAACACACATAATTTAAGAAAAAGTTTGTAGAAAAATACGAAAGTGGTGGTGGTAGAGTGGTAGAAGTTGTGATAGTGGTAGAGGGTGGTAGCAGTTGTGATAGTGGTAGAGGGTGGTAGTGATGGTGGTAGAAGGTGGTAGTGGTTGTGATAGTGGTAAAGGGTGGTAGCGATGGTGGTAGAAGGTGGTAGTGGTTGTGATAGTGGTAGAGGGCAGTAGTGATAGTGGTAGAGGGCGGTAGTGATGGTGGTAGAAGGTGCCTTCTTCAGTGATTCAACGATTCTACTAACTCCTCCAATGTTGTTGGAGTTATATAGGGCTACAGAAAACACCGCCGCCTCAGCTGCTACTTCACCACCATTATGGACGGCTTATGCTCTCAGTGGCCCTTAACACCCAACAGCAACAACAGAACACCTCTTGTGACATACATAATGACTTATTACCACCACCACCACATTACCACCCTCTACTACCATCACTACCACTTTCTATCACTATCACAACTACTACCACCATCACTACCACCTTCCACCACAATCACTACCACCATTTACCCCTATCACAACCACTACCACCCTCTACCACCATCACTACCACCTTCCACCACAATCACTACCACCGTTTACCACTATCACAACCACCTTCTACCACTATCACAACTGCTACCACCCTCTACCACTATCACAACTGCTACCACCATCACTACCACCGTCTACCACTATCACAACCACTATCACTACCACCCTCTACCACTATCACAACTGCTAGCACCCTCTACCACTATCACAACTGCTAGCACCCTCTACCACTATCACAACTGCTACCACTCTACCACCACCGCCTTCGTATTTTTCTACAAACTTTTTCTTAAATTATACCTGTTTCTCACATTCTTTGCCAAAGGGCTGGCACTAGAAGCTTTCTTTGGAGACATGGTGACTTATTTAGCAGTTGCAAGCACTAAAACGAATGGAATATTATGAAATGTATTGTATGAACTAGTGGGATCATCCTCACTCATTGATAAACAATGGCAGACTGGCTGGGAATGAAGTGTGAGGCGGCTTGGGGCTGTGTGTACATATCCCAGACGAACGAGTATTTGTGAGTGAAACGACAATTCACAAGTCAATGTTTTGACGAAAATAACGTTACGATTTTCGAAAATTACGACTTTCGAGCCTTACGATTATCGAGGGTCCACTGTACTGTGCTACAAATTAAAAATTAATATATGAATAAACACAGAATAAGCTAACAACTGCACTGATCAATACTCACTCTAATGTTACGCAAATTGCTCTGCAAAAAGATTAGGACTAATCATCCCTACAAATTCGCGCGTTGGAGAGACGGGTAATTTCCTCGTCAAAACTGTGAATATGCAATGCAAAATTTAGTCTTCACGACTACATTATGTTTCAGAAACTGCATCTCTAATATGGTTAATACTGACATCTATAGGAAACAATGACCAAAAATAAAAAAAAAATCTGGTATTTGAAAGCCACTGAGAAAATAAACATTTGATGATCAAATCTATTTACTGGTTGCCTTCAATAAAACCTTGATAACCAAAATACTCAAATACAAAGCCCACGAATTTGTAACAATGACTCATGACAGTCATTTCAAAGGCATGTTCAGATAATTAATGCTAAACTATGTGCAGAAATCTGCAAGACATAATTTAATGGTGGATCTGTTGGACAACTCCAAGGAAGCTCCTACAGAACTGCAAGGAAAAATTCCAAATGAAAACATATACCAAATGAAGCCTGATAGATTTTTTTTTATTTTAGAACAAACTATTAATACTATAAGTCTCAAGCAACAACTATTATTTAAAGCACATACATTATAACTCGGTCATTATTAACATCCACAAGCAACCCAGTATACCTTGAACAATGTTCCTTTCCTGAATTCTTCAAAACTATGATGTACATATTGTATTTACTATTTACTTTATCTAATATCTATTAGTCTCTAGGCTTTAAATGAACTACTCCAGGCCTAATCCCTTAATTAAAATTCTCACTTCACTGATTTTTCATTTTACAGGGGATTTTTTTTTTTTTTTTACCAGTAACAAAATTTCTCAAATATTAGCCTCATAGGTTACTAATGGTCATCATGACTATTTTGGGGAAAATACCAGGCCTCATTACTCTCAAATATCCATAACTCAGCTCCGTTGTAACTTTCTTGATAATAAGGGTACCTGGTGTATACAGTATAATAAAACACATGCAGATTACATCAGCCTGCCCAGGTTGAAAATGGACAATGTGTTAAATAAAAAATATACCAGTTCCTATACATACATGGAATGTTTGCTAATATGTATGTACTGGGGGACAAAGTTACCCATCATACCACCCACAAAGGATTAACTAAGATTCTGCAACAAAAGAAAAGTTTTAAAGAAAATTTTGTATGGGTTGTGATTTTTGCGATTGAAAGAGGAAATTCTTCTAATAAGGCACCAGTTTATTTTCTAAAAAAATTGTAAAATTCAATAGGTATTTTGTAGGACAAACATTTCTTACTCTACAGTTTATTTTCTTACATGATCCTTATGGTCAATTTCTCAACTTTCTCTTTATCTACTTTTACTTCAGATCAGGTTAGGGTATATTACATAAACATATAATTTACTTTATAAAACTGGGATGCTTGAATGTGTGTGGATGTAGTGCGGATGACAAGAAACAGATGATTGCTGATGTTATGAATGAAAAGAAGTTGGATGTCCTGGCCCTAAGCGAAACAAAGCTGAAGGGTGTAGGGGAGTTTCGGTAGGGGGAAATAAATGGGATTAAATCTGGAGTATCTGAGAGAGTTAGAGCAAAGGAAGGGGTAGCAGTAATATTGAAGGATCAGTTACGGAAGGAGAAAAGAGAATATGAATGTGTAAATTCAAGGATTATGTGGATTAAAGTAAAGGTTGGATGCGAAAAGTGGGTCATAATAAGCGTGTATGCACCTGGAGAAGAGAGGAATGTAGAGGAGAGAGAGAGATTTTGGGAGATGTTAAGTGAATGTATAGGAACCTTTGAACCAAGTGAGAGAGTAATTGTGGTAGGGGACCTGAATGCTAAAGTAGGAGAAACTTTTAGAGAGGGTGTGGTAGGTAAGTTTGGGGTGCCAGGTGTAAATGATAATGGGAGCCCTTCGATTGAACTTTGTATAGAAAGGGTTTAGTTATAGGTAATACATATTTTAAGAAAAAGAGGATAAATAAGTATACAAGATATGATGTAGGGCGAAATGACAGTAGTTTGTTGGATTATGTATTGGTAGATAAGACTGTTGAGTAGACTTCAGGATGTACATGTTTATAGAGGGGCCACAGATATATCAGATCACTTTCTAGTTGTAGCTACACTGAGAGTAAAAGGTAGATGGGATACAAGGAGAATAGAAGCATCAGGGAAGAGAGAGGTGAAGGTTTATAAACTAAAAGAGGAGGCAGTAAGGGTAAGATATAAACAGCTATTGGAGGATAGATGGGCTAATGAGAGCATAGGCAATGGGGTCGAAGAGGTATGGGGTAGGTTTAAAAATGTAGTGTTAGAGTGTTCAGCAGAAGTTTGTGGTTACAGGAAAGTGGGTGCGGGAGGGAAGAGGAGCGATTGGTGGAATGATGATGTAAAGAGAGTAGTAAGGGAGAAAAAGTTAGCATATGAGAAGTTTTTACAAAGTAGAAGTGATGCAAGGAGGGAAGAGTATATGGAGAAAAAGAGAGAGGTTAAGAGAGTGGTGAAGCAATGTAAAAAGAGAGCAAATGAGAGAGTGGGTGAGATGTTATCAACAAATTTTGTTGAAAATAAGAAAAAGTTTTGGAGTGAGATTAACAAGTTAAGGAAGCCTAGAGAACAAATGGATTTGTCAGTTAAAAATAGGAGAGAAGAGTTTTTATTAAATGGAGAGTTAGAGGTATTGGGAAGATGGAGGGAATATTTTGAGGAATTGTTAAATGTTGATGAAGATAGGGAAGCTGTGATTTCGTGTATAGGGCAAGGAGGAATAACATCTTGTAGGAGTGAGGAAGAGCCAGTTGTGAGTGTGGGGGAAGTTCGTGAGGCAGTAACTAAAATGAAAGGGGGTAAGGCAGCCGGGACTGATGGGATAAAGATAGAAATGTTAAAAGCAGGTGGGGATATAGTTTTGGAGTGGTTGGTGCAATTATTTAATAAATGTATGGAAGAGGGTAAAGTACCTAGGGATTGGCAGAGAGCATGCATAGTTCCTTTGTATAAAGGCAAAGGGG